ATGTGCAAGATGTTGAAGTCAAAATATGTTTTTTGTAACTCTTAGATAGACTACAACTTATCTAATTTGATAAATGATTTAGAACCTAGTTACACAGTCATACAGTTTCTGCTTCCCTCTATCATCTTACTTGAGGTAATTTTAGTTTCACCTCTCAGTTTTGCTTGAGCCAGTACATAGTTAACTACAGTCCATTCAGTACCTTCTTATCTACCTACTATTTAAGAAGTATGGGAACAATCTTGAGTATAAAATATCATTTTGTTTTTATGTAAAGTCTTATTAAAGAGAGTATATTATACGCAACATGGATGCAGCAAAGGAACTAGTGTTGAACTTAAAACAAAATAATAAGTCACATGTAGGATATGGTTTGCAAAATGAAAGTGAAGCACTTATTGGTCACATTCTGCAAAATATGGTGAAGGCCCAGTTACCAGAATTAATTCCTGAAGTAAAAAATGAAGAAGATTCCATTCAATATAGAGAAGAAGGTAATGAAATTTCCAAATATTTAGAGTAAACATAACATTTTATTGAGTCACTATATTTTAAAAATTTTAGGAAATCAACATTTTGTAATGGGTGACGACGATGAAGCTATAAAATGTTATACAATGAGTTTGGCATATGCAAATAATAATGAACTTATGTCATATGCTCATGCCAATCGATCTGCTGCCTTATACAGAAAACACATGTTCAAGGAATGTTTGATAGATATTGATGCTGCTTTAAATCTTGGATATCCTGAAGAAAAAAGGAAAAAACTTAAAGAGAGAGGAATTAAGGCCATTGAAGAAATTAAAATGAGATTGCAACTCAAAAAAAACGATTGTATTGATGAAGAAACATTTATGAACATGTGTTTATCAGAAAAAAAGAAAGATATACCTCTAGTTGTAAGATATAGAAATGGAAATACCAAACTTTCAGGGGATGTAAACAAAAATTTTAACACTAATGAAAAGAAAGATTCAGTTAATGGTTGCAATGAACTACCTACAGATAAAGATGGAACGAAACAGCCAAGATATGTAGCAGATGAAGGCCCTTTAAAGTTAGCTTATGGTCCTAGTACAGAGGCTCCTGCTGCTAGTGATGGTGTCAGCATTTCTTTTTCTGAAAAATATGGACGTCATTTAGTAGCTACTAAAGAATTCCAACCAGGAGATATAGTCACTATTGAAGATCCTTATGCATATGTTATTTATACACAAAGGTAGAAAATTTGTTGACATTAGTATATACATATATATATATATATTGATATATGTTAATAATACAAATTATAGATATTATACACATTGCCATCACTGCTTATTAAGAAGTTACAATTTGATTCCTTGCCCACATTGTCCAGTGTCTCAGTATTGTTCAGAAAAATGCAGGAAATCAGCTTGGGAAATGGCACATCAAATAGAATGCCCGATTATGGCACTAGTAGGAAATTTACTTAATGTTGATACAGATAAAATCCGAATGCTTACCAAAATTATTAGACTTCTAATTGTAGTAACAGCAAAGGGCAAAAAAATTGATGAATTGTGTGCAGACATGAAAGTAGCTGAATCTAATCCAGGTAAAGAATAGTATTCATACTTTATTGCTAAAATAAGAAATATAATAGAAAATTTAAATTATACTGAAACAATATGGAAATTAGTAACAAATTATATCATAACAAATATTGAGCTATAACATACTGTTCATTTCTAAATATTATAAAATATTTTTCTTTTGCAGATAATAGAACTGCAGGATTTACAGATGAGGGCATACTGGATAGTACCAGTGCACGATCTGCTCTGAGTCTTGCTACCAATATGACAACCAGACCACTTATTGGAATCAGTGCTTTTGCTTGCATTTCAGCTCTCGCGGTTATCCTTTTAGCCACACAGACTAATTTCTTCTGCAAGAAATATAAAGTTGACCAATTACAAAATATTAGCAATTATCCTAACATTAGATTCTGTGGCAGCCTTATGTTTCGTGCCTGTGTTATAATGTCCTCCAATTGTTTTTCAGTAATTTATTTAATGAATAATACATAATATAAATTACAATATACCATATTAAGCTTAATAAAATAAAGGATGGAAATGATGGAAAAATAATTTCACACTATATTAAATTTATTTTTTTAGGTGCAACAAGAGCCAGGAGTTAAAACAGGTTCAGGCTTATACGTAACGCACAGCTTGTATAATCATTCTTGTGCACCAAATACGTTCCGTCATTTTGAAGGGCTGACGATGATTACTCGTGCTCTAGAACCAATATATCCTGGAGATCAAATATTCACAAATTATGGTGCTGCATATGCATATACAACAAAATCTGAAAGAAGAGAAAAAATAATGCAAGACTATTTCTTTGAGTGCGACTGCATCGCATGTACAAATGATTGGCCGATATATAATGAAATTTTGAAAAATCACATCGGTTCTATTAGCAAGAATAAAGAGCTTGTACAAAAATTGAAACCTTATAAACAACGATTGGTGAAAAATATGTACGATATTGATGCTGTAAAATCTGTTCTTGGCATATTGTATAAGGAAGTATCCCAACCGTGTGAAGAAATCGTACATGCGGAGCAATACCTAAAGAGTTATTATTTAGGTAAATTTAAGTAGATTTTGCAGTGAACTTGCTTACTTGATTTATATTTATAGCTTTGCTTACCTGCCAGTTCTTAACATTATGTTTACTTACATCCTGTAAATCACTTTTATCTATATACTTCACATTGTGCACTGATTTATTTCTTGCTTATAAATTAAATAAGGCTGTCTCTAAATATATAGCTTATACTGCTTTATGCAAAATTATATACTAATTGTTTGGCTGCAAGGGTATGTAAAATATTAATGTATTAGACATTCAAAATTGAACTTCAATTTCATAGATATATTATTTTCTTGTTTTTAGATCCATAAGAGAGGCATCAGCATTACATTAAGTTATTAATGAAAGACATTAAGTATTCCTAAAAACATTTTATTGAAGTTATACATGATATTTAGCTAATTCCTAAAAAAATGTGCATAGCTTCTTTTACACAATACATTTTTGTAGATATTCAAACTAATTGAAATGTATATAATACAAATTTGAAAAACATGTAACACAGGTAATAAATTCAACGAATGAATGAAATTAAAGCAGGAAACTGCTCTCTAAGGTATATCTTCAATAATGCAATAGAAAAATTGATACTTCATATATGTCATACAATTTATTGTAAAAAATGAAATGCTATATATCCATATGTATATAGTGTATTTTTGCATTACATAAAGCATATAAGGCTTGCAAGTTCGCTCAAATGTTCTTTTTACTAATCTCAGTTGAAGACATAAATAGATGTCAAACTGTAGCTACTTTATGAGATTAATAAAAATGATAAAAGCAATAGAAGCAATCATGGCAATTCATTAAAATTACAATGGAATAAATCCTATATATTAAGCCAAGACTAATGTATGATTACAGTAAACAATGGAATTGTTTAATCAAATTGTTCATTGCTAAGCCAATATGTTATATACTGAAATACTCTTTATCACAACAAACTATGTATGTTTGAATAAAGTACAGTTATACTTTAAACCTGTTAATATCCAAAGTGTAGTCACATCTTGCCTAGTTTTATGGTAATAGAAGAAAAAATGTAAAAGAAATATAAACTCATACTCAAAACTCGTTAAATTTTGTCAATATTCCGTTTTTTCATGATTTACATTATATGAATTGCATGTACTGAGCTGAAATATTTTTTTCCTAGGAATGAAGGGATTGAACAAATATCAGCACACCTATCCTTATAAATCATACAAATGACATCCATAGAACTTACAAATCGTTATAAATTCTATATTTAAAAGTGTATTTAATACACGCAAACGCATGCTAATATTTTATTAGGGACAAATATCAAAATTACTTGTTCAATTTTTAATTCTGCTAATATTCTGATTTCTTATCAAAGATCATCATAAGACTTTCACTTCATGAAACGAAATGAAATTGTTTGTCAGATGAGTATGAACATGAGAAAAATAAAGGAGACCCAAATCTCCGATTGTTCATTGTACGATAAATAAATTTGAGATTAATTAAAATCGGCCGATATTCGAAAAAGCCGCAAACAGAGGTGTCGTGGTTGTAGCCGGTTGCTGATCGCCGATGCTTTTGAGCAAATTGCCTTGCAACAGACTGTCAAGTGCCTTTTGAACTGTTGGATCGTTTAGCAGAGGTGACGGTGAAACTCCCGTAGTAGTAGTAGTTGTGGATGCTGTTGTGGCAGTTGATGCTGCTGGCATAACATGATGTACTCATGAAGTTAGCAGTTGTAATACCAGCAATATATATATTCGAAGTTCGTTCGCTTTGATCACTGCATTATATGGTAAACGGCACAATATCACTACACGCACGAAGTATTCGATCAGAAACCCAAAGCGTACGAAGTTCGTTTGTCTTTTCATCACTTGTGCTCAATATTTAGCTTAAAATTTTACCCAAAATTATTTGTCTAAAAAAATTCTTAGACAAAATTTTCATTTTTTTTTTTCTTATTAGTAACATCGAATTCTTTAAAAAATTTCCTCATTAGAAATTTATATGCGCGACTTAAAATTGCATTTCCTTTGAACATGTTCGTGAAAGATACGCAAACAAATTCAAAAGGAAATATAAAAGATAGGTGATCCAAAATCCATAAGATACACCTATAACGACCTTTCTAAAAGTGCAAAAGGATGCAACAGGTCTGTCCTTTTTTACATTAAAAACTCGATATAGTTTTCATTTTTAATGCTGCTCTTTTTGCGTCACAAATAAAGCGATAAGCAGTATTCTTACAAGGAATGAAATTACTTGTTACATTGTGCAGTAAGTAATTATTCTATTGCACTTGTAGTATAAATATCTTTTCAATTCCTCTAAAAAAGTAGATTTTTTTTATAATTTGTTTTACAAAATCACTGCAATGGAAACTGATAACTAATTTTTATAAAATACATGTCACCCTATATTTAATATTATGTGCATTTTGTTGAATCTTTAATAGTAAAGTTATATAAGTTTTACCTGTTCCCCACGTAGCAGGCGGGACAGGTGTTGGTGCTGAAGTTGGAGCTGGTACTGGACTAGGTGCTGGTGCAGATGAATTTGTTTTATTACTGTTCAAAATGTTAAGTATCCTAGATTGTAATTCGGCTTGTTTCGGGTCGCTAACTGTTATCGTCGTCGTCGTCGTTGGTATATCTTTTACATCTCCCAATTCAACTTGTACTTGCTCTTCACGTTTGATTTCAAGATATTTTATAACACGATCGTATTGTAATACTGTCAACTGATGATTATCAGCTAGCATGTTTAAAAGAACCTGAATAGCATCCGGATGCCGTTCATTTGCGAAAGGTGTATTCAATGGAACGGATCGACCACCAGCTTTATAATTAGCAAAATCACGCGACATTAAATTAATAGCATCTTCAACGAGCATATTTCTATGTTCTGCACAAAAAAAGATGGAGTTACATTAATGCCATAATTAAGAAATTTTTAATAGTATTATTAAAAAGTTTACCTTGGGGTAAACCATGAAGAATGTTTAAAGTTAAGGAATGGTGTTCTTGATTGATAGGTGTAACTACAACTGCATATAAACATCCACGACTTGCAATATTTCCTAGAACTCTACTTAAAAGAACATCTTCATTTGGAAATAACAAATCAACTGTTAATCCAATTTTTTTCAATCTCATTTCAATACTTTCAGCATATTCCCTATTTGAAAAGAGGAATTAGAAAAATACTCACTGATTATTAAATAAAATACGTTATTTTTACACTTACGTTAATGCTTTGTTAACAACAATAATTTCACAGTCATTCTTTTCAGTTGTTACAGTTGAGTATTCACTTGATGTACTTGTATTGCTGTTAAACAAATGTGAAACAAAAACAATCAATGTTAATAGCAATTAGTATCAAAGCAGATAGTTTCAAAATGCTTAGTTCAACTTACTTAAAATTTATATTCATATCTCTAGGACCAGAATTCTTAAAATCTTCATAACGGTTATTGCTATCATTAAATGAATCTCTGCCAAAGTTATTGCCCCTTAATCCTCTATCTCCTTGTTTATGATCCCAATCTCTACTACCTTTATCATCTAAACGACCACTTCTATTGATAGGACTGCGATCTCTGAAGTTATTTCCACCTGAATTATCTCTGTTTTTATTTCGATTTTTTCCACCTCTAGTACCTCTTAGTCTACCACCCCCACCAGTGTTCATACCTCCACCTCCACTACCACCTTGATTCTGATTATTTGCATTACGATTTTGATTTCCACCAGGCCTGTTTTGATTTCCACCTGGTCCAAATTGATTACCACCTCTGTTTTGATTAAAATCACCACCACTCCTATTCTGATTATTTGGAGTAAAATTATTTCCTTTACTTTGCATAAGATTATTAAACTGTTCATTTGCATTATTTCGATTTTGATTTCCAAATTGATCATTCACATTATCTCTGTTCTGATTTCCTTCCCCAAATTGATTTGGCATATTGTTTCCTTTCTGACTATCATTTAATTGTGGTTCACAACCAAAACTTTGATTTGCATTAAAATTCGGATTGCTTCCATAATTCTGATTTGCACTATTGAAAGCATCATTTCCAGCATTGAAATGATTGTTGCCAGTATTAAATTGATTAGATCCTCCTAATTGTTTACCTGGGCCTCCACCTCCTACACTAGATTGATTGTCTTTTTTTGCTGGTCTAACATCTATTTAAAGAATTATACAAAGTTATATTTAAATGCTATTTAAATGGTGAACAATTAATTGAAATAGTTAAGTAAGAATGAAATACAAATGAAATGAAAAGAGTTTCAGAAATGAAAATACCTATTCTTCTGCCTTTGAACATTGCCCCATCCTCATTTTGAATAGCCTTTTGAGCAGATTGTTCTTCTTCAAATTGTACAAAACCAAAACCTCGATTTATCAAAGAGCCAACAACCGTTCCATACTTTGAAAAATGCTCTTCCAACTCATGTTTAGTCATGTCATCAGTTTGTAAATGACCCACAAATATACGGCTACTTACAGTAGCAGGATCTTTCAAAAGTCTTATACTCATATTGGAGCAGTGTATTTTCAACAAGCAATTCTCTTAATAGTGGATATTCATAGAACAATAACACCAATCTCACTCAAATTAATAAAACAGCTAAGGTTATGCTAAAACGCTGACATTTACTTCTTAATCTATTCCATTTAGATATATGTACTTTAATCAACACGTAGATAACGGTAACGCACAACACTGAAAAATCTTCATTTACTTTTTTCTCTCTTTCCAACTGTTATGAGACAACGTTATTAATGAAATAACGTTAGTTTGAAAACAGGATCTTTCAATCAACAATTGAAAGCTGAATGAATCGCATATGATGGCGCGTACATGTAAGATTTCTTCGTTAAGTGCGTTCTGTTTTCATACTCACAGCAAAACATTAAGCCAATTCCGTTGTTTTCAAACAATCGCGAATGCTTAACATATTTTCAAGGAATACGGTCGTACACAGAAATTCGTGGTTTGAAAATCTGCCTTAGGATTACATAAAGAGAGAACTATTCATTGACAAATTCCTTGTTTCAATAAAAAAATCTCGTATTACGTTAGTTGTTTAATACATTCCTAGTAAAACTGATGGGGGCTCGTTGATAAACAGATTGAATTGCGTTCTGTTCGATTAGGCAAATCGAATGTCAAATTCTTGTTGGCATTACCACAGACTGCAAAATAGTGGAGAAGGAAATATTTTTTAGCGCCATCTTGCCTCGTAACTTCTAATTCGTCAGTGCCTGTGAATGGACTTGTCATAAGTGTTTTATGTTATTTTGCTCCTTGTTTCGGTTGAAATTAGTGCATTAAATTCCCAGTATACATTACGGTGAGTAGGAAGTTCCACGTTAGATTGTAAATACATCTACGGAAACAGATTGTCGTTGGTACATAACTACAAGTGGTATAGTCCGTCGAATAGAAGACTTTAAAGTTCGATTCCGTTTCAATAGTACAATAGTATTGTTACATGTTCTAATCGTGATGTGTTATTTCGTTAATTCATTTCCTCTATTTCGTTCTATGTTAACCTGTGTATGAAACGGACCTAAAAAAAAAGTGCAGTAATGCGAAGTCACACCCGAGCATGAGAAAGCATAGATAGTTTCGAAATTGACATATCACGTATTTTCATGGATTAGCCTTGCACCTAAGCCAGTGTACGTATACCTATTGTGTTAGTTATATCTAGAAGACAGCCCATACAGCGTGCATGTTTCACATTGTTCTTTTAAATCTATCGGAAGAAATCATCATTTAATATTCATATAGCGTATGATTGTCATTTTAACGTACATATGTGTGTTGATGTCTGGTTGATTTAAACTTTCAAACAATGTAAGGAAGTGTGCAGTAGCGAGCTTGTTGTGCGCGAGCAAAAAATAACGTGCCTAACTTTGAGACAAAAAAAGATTGCGAACTAATGTGCTGAGTGTTTAAAGTCAATTATGTTTACAAATTGATGTTCACGAAGAAAGGAATGACGTAAATTTGATGTTGACGACTTTTCACGTGCAATATTATGATGCTTTTTTATTTTGTCTTTTTGCTCATTTTTTTTTTCTCAATTATTTACTTCAAATTGGACATAAGTAGTGAAACACGAGAAAAAAAACGAAATCAATAGTTTCATGGTCGTTAATAGATAGAATACTTTTTAACTGTCTGAAAGAAACCATATGATGATAATCCTAAGTACACTCAACATATAAGTAATTCTTCTAGTGTATATCATTGTGTTGAACAGTTGTTTTTTAAGCCTATCTATTGAATAAAATTCAGTTGTATGTTTGATGTAACTACAAAAAATTTTGGGAACATACGTATAAATGTCATTTCCTTTATAAGATGCTATATTGTACGTGTGTAATGATAAGATAAGACACATAGTATCATTAAGTGATAGATAATAAAGATTTTGTTCACTTTTCAGTTTAATAACACGGCTTTTTTGAAGGAAAATTTGAACCCTACACTTCATCAATGTAAGTAATTTTATTTCTTTTTATTGTTGCATGCAGCCTATTGTTTTTTTGAGAGAGTAGTTTGGTTTAAATTCTTTTTCTTTCAATACAAGAATTTCTTCCTCTTTCATTTTTATTTCAAATTTTTTTTTTTTTAGTTATATTAAAATGCTTGCAAGAGGTTTTGTTATAAAAAAAAAAAGTAGTTTCAATGAGTAATCAAGTACGTCATATTTTTAAAATGTTTTAAATAGAAATAATTTTAACAAACATCATGTTGGTGAATTAAGTGTAATATTGCACAAAAACTGCAACTTTGATTTCTTGTCAGAATGCTTTATTAAAAGGGCATGGCTTATATTCGAAAAAAAAGCCTGTGACAATTTTAGATACAAAAATACAGATCATGTAAATGTTAAAGATCATATTTCATTTGTGATTAATTCAAAATTTTATTGTTCTTGTTCATCAGATAAAACTGATGAATATACAGTATGATATTTTGCAGATATTAACATCTTCCTCTGCAGTTAAAAAAAATTTTCTTTAAATCTGCTTTACAATTGTATATTGTATTTGTTTGTTTAATCATTGGTGATTAACTGTGGTTATCATTTTTAATATTTATAGAGTAAAATGTTATTATTTTTAAATCAATATTTCTGTAACACTTCAGCTACATGCCCTGTACATAGTATGTCCAAAAAAGGTATTCACAGCTAAAAAACAGTGTATATTATGTATTAATGAACACGAGTTGTGCCTATTTAGTTTATAAGCATTTTCCAAATATGCTACTTTTTATGTGCAGCACAAAATTTGTAGTATAATTTAGTAATATTGTATACCAAACTGCTATACATGTATTTAATTTAGATTCATATGCTTACAATATTTATTGCATTAGGAGAATAAAGAATGCAGTATTCTGTGCAATATTTATTTGCATAATTAGTGAGATTATTAAACATACATTCAAAGTGTCTTCAGTTAATTGTATTATCGTTTATGCATTAAGTAAGAACTCATTCATCATTGACAGGTAAATGTAATAAGTGTTTCTTATTTATTTATTGAACTATCTAATAGTCTAGGATTTTATTCTGATTCGAAAAGTTTGGGAGTTTTCTATATTTGTGGACAAGAAGTAGCTTCATCAACGACACCAGCCATAGTTCATATGCCAACAATGGCTATGCAGAAGGTAAATTTCATTAACTGGTCACAGTTAACAAAATAACAAATGTTATTACTGTACTAATCAATTATATTGTTAGATAATGTTTAAAAAACAAATAATGTAGATAAATGTTTTGCAAACTGCATTAATAAATAATATGCAGGATGTTGAAAAAATTGATATTTTATCATAAACAAATTTGAAATTATCATATAGAAGATAAAACTTCTTATAACATATAATCTCACTATTTGTAAAACCTTTTTACATGTTTCTATGACTTGGAAATAATTAGAGTAATCATAATAGCATAACATCCTGTATATGTAAAAAGATACATGAATTATAGTGTTTAGTAATCAGATTTTTGCACATATTGGAAATCATTCATGTTTTATTTTCTGCAAAATTATGTAATAATGATAAGTTCTGCACATTATGCAAGTCAGTATTGCATCAAACATTATTTTCAGAAAGATCTTTAGTGTTAAGTTTTTTAATTAAAAAGAAAAAAGATGAAAATATTTCTTATAAGGAAGCTTGGCAGGTTGTGGTAAAAATTTCTTTTAAAAAACGATTTATCATGATAATACAAATTATATTTTAGTGTATGTAAACATATAAAATGTACTGATTTAGTTGAAACTTTTTATCTTGGATACACATTTACATAGGCACATCTCAAGACAAATTAATCTGCTTTGGAGCTTTATAAATATTGAAAATAGTTTATTCAGTTGCATTATTTTATTGCATTTTGTTTGACGTATAACTTGCAAATTACACAATAATGCCATATCTAGGATAAAAGAATATCACTAGGGAGGATTTCTTTACTTTTGTATCAGTCACACTTTTACTTTAGCTACTTTCATCCATCTTACTACTAACCAAATAGAAAGTAGTAATAATGTGTTGATTTGGTAAAAGTAGAGTAGTATGAAAACTTACAATGAGTTTCCTGCTTTCTTACTAATGCATATTTAGTCGCATGGCTTTTATATGAAATGATTGCCCATATTTATTATAAGTTTCAGTTTAAATAAATTTTTTTTTCTTAAATAAACAACTGAATTCATGTTTGAGGTGCATTGGGAATTATTAGCACATATCATATCTTATTGACATAAATATGAATGTACATAATGATAAGTATGGGCTTCTAGAAGAAATAAGAATATTACTACCTGCTTGTAACATATAGTGGTACTCTTTTAGATGAGGAGACAGGGTCAAGATGTCATGCAGGTGAATTTGGCGGGAATTAGGCGAGACATTGTTAATCTTGCCCACAACTATAGCAATGCTCAGGTAAATTAAGTAATAATTCAGTATTTAACAGTTATTTGTTACCATTATTAGTTACACTAAGGATGAAATATTACATACATAGAAAGCTGTACGTAAAGCTACCAGTAATGATCCCTGGGGTCCAAGCAGTACACTTATGGCAGAAATTGCTGATTTAACATATAATGTTGTGGCTTTTACTGAGATCATGCAAATGTTGTGGAAGAGATTAAACGATCACGGAAAAAACTGGCGGCACGTGTACAAAGCTTTAGTTCTTTTAGAGTACCTCATTAAAACAGGCACGGAAAAAGTTGCACAGCAATGTAAAGAAAATATTTTTGCCATCCAAACATTGAAAGGTAAAAAAATTTGTGTTTGATGATACCAATTTTAATATGAAATATTTGTAAGTCACTGTGCCTACTTTTGTTCTTTATTCAGATTTTCAATACATGGAAGGGTCTAAGGACCAGGGTGTGAATGTGAGAGAAAAAGCAAAGCAACTAGTGGCCTTATTAAAAGATGATGAGAGATTAAGAAATGAAAGAGTTAGAGCACTGAAAGCAAAAGAAAGATTTGCACAATCAGTTAGTGGATTTGGTAGTGATGGACTAGATACCATGTCACCTGTAAGCAGTGATGTAAGTAGACCTTGATAATAATATATAACATTTTTTTAAATTATACTTCTCTATTGGTATAGTTTCAGGATTGGGAACCATGCCGTTTGGGATCTGAAGCGCCAACTAGACGTACGAGTCCAAACTAAATATTTATACATTATACTATTTTTTTCACTAACATATTGCAATTAATTTAATTTTTTTTTTTTTTTTTAATTTTTTAGCTGAATTGGAAGCTGCAAGGCCGCAAACGGTAGGAGAAGAGGAATTACAGCTACAATTAGCTCTAGCAATGTCGAGAGAAGAAGCGGAGCAAGAAGAACAAAGAAGACGCAGTGACGACGTCAGATTGCAATTAGCTCTTAGTCAAAGTCAGCAAGATTTTAAGTTAGTCGAAATCGTTTTAGGTTTTAATATTTATAGGTATTATATATTCCATTTCACTTTTTGCCTAAAGAAATACATAAATTTTAGAGCTCCGCAAACTGATAAACAAAGTCACATGAGAGACTTGCTGGATGTAAATTTGGAAGAAGCATCGGGGTATAATGTAAAAACCGATCCTTGGGGTGTACCAATTACACCACCTCCGCCCAGACCTCAGGTATGTTCTTTTAAATTAAATTAAACCTACACATTTGCTTATTGCATGATAACACGATGTTGTATACCCTTTGCATGTAATACAACAGTCTTTGGATTTATCTCACTTTTATCTATACGAGGTATGTTTGACCAATACAACAAACATTGCGGTTATAGAGCACTGTATAATTGTATTACAAAATTTGTTGAAAATTAAATTTGAAACTTGCATGCTCTCATTTTACAGCCACAAAATGATCCATGGAGTGTTCCTACAACAAGTAGTACATCACCCGCGATTGATCCATGGGCTCCTGTTTCGCAATTATCGCAAAGACCAAGTAAGATTTATTGAAAAAGAATTTTAATGTATGCTAAACGCTGTCTTTAATTTTATTTTAATTCATTTATAATTTGATATTAGCTGCTGCAATTGATCCGTGGCGAGCACCCCCATCATCTCCCGTAACAGTTACAACTTCACCTAGCGCAGATCCTTGGACGCCAGCACCTGCTGCTGCTACTACTGAAGCTGATACAAACAAAAAACAGGTTTCATTTTTTGAACTGTCTATACTACATTTATCTGTATTAACAATCAATTGACGTAATTACTTCTAAATTATCTAGGCTGGACGAGAAGGTATCACATCATCTGTTTCTCCATCTTTCAACAATCCTACTTTAACACAAAACATCGGCTTTGCGGCGCAGTCACCACAAAATATAGGCTTTAATTTGCCTACAACTTCAAGTGCTACGTTTAACACAACTACTAATGGTTTCAACGGCACTGGACCTAGTCTAAATAATTTCACCATCGAGAATCAGGCCAGTTCTGTAGTCAGTCCACTGAGCGATTTAGATGAATTTGATGTAATTTCTAACAGAAATAAGCCTGGACCTAGTCTGCAAACTGCAAATAATGGTGTTTATTTAATTATTTTAATTATTCTTTCATTACGAGGTATGAAATGATATTAATATTTTATTTGTTCGGTACTATTGTAGGAAGTACGCTATCACCGGATCCGTTTGATTTGGGGAGCATAGGGGAAACTCTTCCTACGAGTGCAGGAGCTATTAAGAAAACACCACAGTCGTTCCTCGGAGAGAACTCTGCTCTTGTCAATCTTGATAATCTTGTCAGTACTTCTACGATCAAGCCTGCAACGCCTACACCCGCAGGTAATACTTCATTTAAATTATATTTCTTCATATATCATACATTTCGAATTATACATAATGAATTCTATGAAATTTATACATATATCATCGGTTGCGAAAAGCAAAAAATTATTCTAATCCAATATTTCAATCAAAAGTACTTTGATCCCAATGAAAAACAGATATTGTGTTTCTTTTTTTATAATATATTTTGTCTGCAAAATAGCATTTCATTGGAAGTAAATTCGTGAGTATTTAAAAAGTAATCAATAATATTGCATGAGTGCATGATTCGATTAAGGTATTGAAATTGTATTTTGTATGAATCTTCTTTGCAGCAAAAAACGATGGTATATAGCGTGAAAGTTACTTTTACTTACGTTTCCAATTTCAGCTTAACAGGTTACGATTTGACGAGTTTTAATAATATTAATAAAAATTTACAGCAACTATATCATATTCAGCAAATCCATTTGCGACGGCAACACCACCACCACCCCGTCCCTCAATTAATCAGATTCGACAAGATCCTTGGACAGCGAATACAACTACTACAGCGAATCCGTTCCTCTCGTAGCTTGGTGATAATTGTTGAAGATGTCAGTCGAAAATCAAGAGCACTGTGGTCTAAAAAGTATTCGAGATTTTTAGCGGTAACCCTGTACGGTATAAGTTTCTTGCTCGTTGTCAAGTAGCTTTATTTCAAGATATAAAGGATAACTAGATGACAAACAATGCCTGTTCAAAATGAAACATTTGTTACGAATATTTTAATTTTTGAAAGTAACAATTAAATTATTTTTAAATCGATCAGTTGGTAATTCGTTTTTCTAATCTTAATCAGTGACAAAAGGAAGTTTGAAAAATGTACGCTAATATGAGCTGCTTGATTCACTTGGATCGATAATGCAAATTCTAATGTAAGGACACAAGGTTAAAATTTATTTTTATATAGTAATTGAAAAAAAAATTGTAAAATATTTATTTTCATTTTTCCTTACTGTACAGAAATGTTTGTGTCCAATGCAATGACTCAATTATTTGTATTTTATTGAGTACTAATAACGAATGAGGAACTGTCTAAGAAAGCATAAAATATAATAAATAAAATAAAAATTTAAAAGATATAGATCATATTTGAATTTCGAACGTTTAAACGCTCTAAAGGTTTAACTAAATTTTATAAGGACTTTTTCCATTTGTAGTATATTTTTTAAGTGCTATTCGAATTGGTAATAAGAAATAAGATTTTCATTGTGCTGTAGACTGTAAAGTATAAAGTTAATGTGAAGATAATTTTCTTTGTTTTATATTTCTACGCGTGTTTTTCTACAGCTAATGAGATCGTGAGACTGTAATCGTGATTTGCAAAAGTATATTATATCGAACAGGGTTCTTAAATTTATGTTATACGCTTAATGTGACGTACATTGATTGTGGTTCGTAAAAAGTATTCGTGTCATAGCATGCCTTTTATGACTAATACTCATCTTGCAAAGAGAGATGTGTATGCTAGTAATGCGATGTGTCGTTTGCTAATTGTTTACTCTGTTTGATAACACCTTGGATTACTTGCAGATGAGACAGTTGAGCAGTTTTACGACTGCAAAAATAATATATCATCTTCTAATGTCGTTAACATATACACGTATGTACAAGGTGAATTTAGTTTTGAAATTTTAAGTATTTGGTTTTGGGCGATTATTAAAAATACTTGCATAGGCTTTCCGTGCACTGCAGAGAACCAAACACAGGCGTAGCTAATATGCATTTTCTTATCGGTAAAGAGAAAAATCGGTGCGTTCTACTATTTCACAGGAACTTACCATTAACGCGTGATGGTTATGTTGGTTACACTTTAGGTGTCCTAGAAATTTCTCAGAGAAATTATCTAACGCGGTGTCTTTATTCGTTCGACTGTCAGATTTAATGAACCAACATGATCTGATAACGAAGGGTAATGTGAAGTGCATTAGCTTTCTTTGTACGCAAAACAGTTTACAATTGTACCTTGATTTATATAATGAAAAGAAATTGTAAATATGTTACAGCATATCGTTCCCCAATTGTCAAGTCTTTTCCTTCTATACTCGTCAACGTGTAGAATAATTCTAATAAAACCTGAAAGTGTTTTCAACATTTTACTAGTTATTTCCTGTTTTCAAGGAAATTGTTGCTGAGTTTATTGTTTTATATATTGTGAATACTTTTCACGTTTAAGACTATCATGACGACAACATGGAGGAAAAGTACGATTCACTTGATTAAGATGGTAGTCGATAATCACTCCGTATTTATTAGTAACTTTTTAAAGGGCTACTTTGCTGATAGTCATACTGTCAACTCAGCATTTCCTTTTTAAGGATATCGATGCATTTTACAATTTTATACAAGAAAAAGGTTTCGTATATTTAATGATTGGCAAAGGGGAACTGTATTTGCCTGCTTGTCCTAAGTAAATCAGATATGAGTTGCACGATTAAAAATTCTGTTAAGTAAATAATTGCTTAAATAATTCCATTGTATTATTCTTTGTTAAATTAATAACATTTGTTTCTTTATGCATTTTCAACATACTTGCTTGTATGATTGAAATTGTATATTTATCCTGATGTTCGCGAAATAATGAAGTTAAAATTATACGGTAGATCTTATCTCACTTCGAAGTTGAAATTACCTTGACTTTACGATTTGAATTGACTGTGCTTAAAAAAGTACTATGCATTGAGCTTTCGAATTTTTTCTTTCAATTGACTAAACGAGAGGTTATTTTTATAATATACCGATGAAAATATTTTATTCTTCTATGTGTATATGATGTAATGCACGAGCTTCATTTTTACGCGAACGATGGAACACTGTTTAGTTCTTAGAGTTGGTGTAAGTGCAGAGAAAATTTAAAGAACATTTTTAAATGAAATATGTAAAAATTTTTAATTTTTCTGATTAAATATTTAATTTGAAGCTCCCTTGTATATGTTATTTCTGCAATGAATTGCAATCAATGATATATCAAAATGTAATTGTGAAGTACACCAAAGCAATTTTTTTGAAATGGTGGTATACAATTTTAAGTTAGATACTATGATAGCAAATAACTTGTGTGTTTTTATATGTAGGTAAGAAAATTACAAACAAAGTGAAAAATATTTGCACATGGAAATTATTTTATTTTAAAGAGATGCTTCGGTTGAAGAGCTTATAGTAACAGGGGGAAGAAAATACGAGCGAACTTGACTATGTAATTGTGCTATTTCAGGATCTTCCCTTTCTAGAGCTCTGAGTAATTGTGCAAATTGAACTGTACCTGTAAACGAAAGAAATAATAAATTATCTATGACAAGAACTGCAGTCTAACTAGCTTTGATGGTTGAAATAAAAATGAAACGCTTTACCTTCTCGTCCTTCCGGAAAACCGTAGTTTTTAATAACGTCCATTTGAATCTGTACAACAATTGGAAAGACAAATTGCATCATTTTCAACATTTCATTTCCAGAATTTTCTTTAGCTTCTGCGAGCTTTTGGATATTTTCTGGAGTATTTAACGCTGTTAGAACGTCAGTTAAGACAGCTAAAAGAAGATTGTCTTATTTGCTACAGTTCTTGAAAAAAGTGTATCAAAATCTTATCTTTTATTACAAGCTTTAAATACCTTTCGCAACTTCCGGAGTAAAGGCAGGCACAGTAGTCATTGTAAGCGCAATTGTATACAATTTAAATGTATAAAAAAAGTAAAGTTAAATATACACCGATTCCTTCCGAAGGAATTAGGTTAAAAATGTAAAATGTTTGTCCTATGAATTTTGCTACTTGTTAATATTTGTCTTTTTTTTACAGCAACCTTACTTTCATTCTTAAAACACTTTGTGCGTGGATTTTTTCTTATTGTTATTCCTGGGACATGTAAAAATATGTAAACAATACATTGGTTCGAACAATCTACCTAAGAGGGCGTTTGGTACAAGTCAAGTGCTACTTGTCATTTATTTCAATGACATGTGTTAAAAAAATCAGAAAATCTAAAATTATAAAAAAAAAATGTACGCGTGAAAATTTCGTTTAAATGTTGTGCAACCGAAATTTATCGCATGAAGGCGAAACGTAGCAAACAATTGGCAAAATTCTCCAACGTGTCAGATAAACGGAATTTCTAAACAGTGTCTCTCAAACAATACTTCTCAACATAACCTATTTACGAAAATAAATTGACAATAAGCAAGTATATCGTAAACAGAGGGCAGTCTGTTGTTAGAAGACCTATTCATCACCGTCGAACAAATTTCGCATAATTTTTCACACTGGAATATTAACAAATAAAACGGTTATTCGAATTAAAACATCGATAAAAACGATACATTAGAAAAGAACTCCATAATGAGTTCTGATCACGATCAGGCATTTTTACAAATTTTACAAAAAGAGAAAAATATCCCAAATTTTTTAGACGCACTTTTCGGGTTTTTATACAGATAGTAAGTGAATGTATCGAAGTTGAAGCATTTGTATATTTAAAAATTTAAAAACACGATTTTAAAAAATGACTCATAATTAAATTACAGCACAGATCTTTACATTGAATCTGGAGGAGATCAAAAATTAGGATTCCCACCTGGTATGGGAGAAAAGCTTGTCTTACATAGTTTCCAAAAATGGAAGAGAATATCTAAATTTCCCAGTGAAACAGATCTTCTAAACAATCAGGATTTTATTATAGAGAATGACGATAAAGATGAAGATGAGTCAATGACAATAGAAGAAGATTCACCTATTCCACAGGTTGATCATGAAGTAGAAATTGAAACATGCAAAGAAAGTCAAATTATAGGTCAATCTAGTCAATTAATCAAGAGGGATCGGTCATCAGACAGCTATAATGGAGCAGTGAGAGAAAATTACACTTGGTCACAGACTATCAGCGACATAGATGTGCTGGTCAAACTGCCCAGTTGTATAAAAACATCAAAAGACTTAAGAATTCATTTGGATTCAAAAGAAATTAAGATAGAAGCAAGGGCATCAAGGGTTGAACAGAATCAGGAGATAGAAGAGTGTCTGTATTTTGTATGGATCACAATTTTCAAAGAAGAGTTTTGCTTTAAAATTCGAAAAGATGAATCAATGTGGAGCATTGTACCTGGACAACACATTAGCGTATGTTTGTAGTATTAAATGTAGATATGTAAGACACACAGTCTAATATTTGTTTCACCACAGATTCATCTTGAGAAGGCTTCAGAAAGGTGGTGGGACGCACTGATCATTGGTGAGCCAAAAATTGACTTGTCGAAAATCGATTGTTCGAGAAATTTAGACGATCTGGGATCAGAAGAGCAGATGAAGGTTCACGAGTTAATGTGGAATCACCAACAAAAGCTTCTTGGCAAGCCAACTTCTGAGCAAATTGTGAGCATTTGTAAAATCTGAGTAAAATTACAACCCTAATTTCTAATGCAATATTTTTTTTACACAGAAAATAGAAAAGGTACTGAGAAAAGCATGGGAAGCTAAAGGATCTCCGTTCGAGGGCACACCGTACGATCCCTCGATAATAAACTTCAACTGATACACTTGTATCGCGCCTTTCATACTTCATTAATTGTTACGAATTAATAAAATTGTACATTAAGCTAAAATTGTACATTAAAGGTTTTACTTTATGTATCAAAATCGTTTATCTACTGAAATATATTCGAAATGTTTGAATAGTTTCACAAACTTACGTCTCTTACATTGTATTATTAATTACAATCTTACGTACTACATCAGCATGTACCTATTTACATTTACACTAGATATTATCTCGCGAACGATAAACAACTTTTATATATGTTCTTTTTTACAATTCACAGAACACAGTAGTACGCTATCTCTGCCTATTATTCGTAGTAGAATGACTCTTTGTTGTCCGGGCCTTTAAAATTCAGGGAAACAATCGAGGTCGAAATCCCATTATCCGTGAGAAAATTCCTGGTACCTGCATGCCCGCGATTTTACGAACCAGCAGGTACACACAGGTGTTTCTCACGTTCTCCTGGGCAATTCATTTCTCCACCCGTGAATCCTGTGGATTAACCACAGATCAAAATTAATCAACAGGATAGAAAAAGAAAAAGGTGGGGAGATCCTACGGTACGAAGGTTGCCGCGTGGAAACGATAAGGGATCCACGGAGATTCGTAGAATGCATGGAATTCCTCGGTTTTCCCTAGCGTTTGCATCGACTTTATCTCACCGTGGTGGGATTGTTTGGTAAAGGAACAAGGAAGGAATGCTTTATGGAAGCAGACAGATAGCTACGGCGAAACTGTTCTCATTTTCTGGAATTCCATCAAACTTTCCTGCGTTCGTTTCGTTCATCGATACGAAACACACCTTCTAACCCATATTCCTCTCGATCGTTCCACCTTAAAAAATATCAATTCTAAATTGCTTCAACACCAACAATCTGAACATCATCGATCCATCAAAGGTATCTTCGAAAATTCAACAAAATATCCTACAATATTTATCATCTCGTACGTTCAGTTGTGCACAAAGAGATCCGTTCCGTGCAGGCATTGAAATCTCCTAAGAATCTCCGAAAGGAGAATCACGTTCTAAAGCTTGAAACATCTGTAAATACCTCGATCATAGAAAAATCCATTTTCAGAGGTTCGCTCATAATTTCATTATCTCAAGAGAAGTAGCAAAAGGTACGCTAAGGTGTTTCAGGTTCAAAGACGAGGCGAACGTGAGGATCGTAAGAAATGCTCGCGCGTTGAGAACCGCTGAAGGTAAAACACAGGTAATATACCTGCCTGGGGCTACATTCATCCCCACCTGGAGTCCGGTTCTCTCTCCTTGGTCGGCTCTCAGCTTTTCTCCGAGGTGAGTCGAGCCGTTAGTGTCGTTGTCGTAGGAGAGAATGGTAGTAATGTGTATCGCGGAGTATCGCGCACCCTGAAGGACGTCGTCATCGTCTCATCTTCTTACCCGACACGTTTATACACCTTCGTTCGTTGTTCTTCCTCCTCCTCTGTCTAATTCTAATCACCGCGGTGGAAACAAAATTTGGCTAAAAATCCTCTCTCTCGCGTTGGACTGGACGAAATAAAAAAAAAAAAGAAAGAAAAATTCCTCTCGAAGAACGGTTCGTGACCTGTTTCGTGTGGATCTCTTTTTCACGGATGCTCTCAAGCCTCGAGGACGAACACGACTACTACTACCTGTTCCATCGGCAGTATCGTAGCTCGCGGTGGTGCCGTAAGTGAGGTGAAACGTAACACGGAGAAGAGAGTGGAGTTGAACGGGGAAAATCGACGGGAAATAAAGGAGACGAGGAAGAAGAAGAAGAAGAAGAGGATACCAAGATGCCCTGTTCCGCGGTGACGCTGTCTCTCGCGACCATAACCGGTATCATTGCCACTGGCCTCCTGGCAATCGCCTTTTCCACGGACAACTGGCTCTACACCGAGGTCAAGCGCGCCCAAATCCAGGTTCGTCTACTACACATGCGATCTATTATTTTTTTCTTTCTCACTTTGGCTCGTTCGTTGGTTCTCCCCGAGAAGAGAATTTAGGATGCCACGTCGTTCTCTTTTGGGAGATCTCTCGCTTAACACGGTTCTGTGGACGTTCATTTTCGATTCCATGTTTTTTATTCCAGTTGAAAATGCATCTTTCCGCCTGAGTGATTTGAACATGATTAGAATTACAGCCTAGCGTATTTTCGTAGTGGAAATACTGGTTTATTCTTGGATTGTGTCATCCCGGATACATCTGGGAAGGTAACGATCGTGACGAATTTTCCTCAATTCCAATCGAGCAATATCATTGTAGAGATTTTTTTTGTGTGAAGATGTTTGAGAAATTTAGAAGACAATTGGTAGAGTTAATTTTCTGAGCGAGGAAAGAAACACCGTTGTTGAAACGTGATCCAATTAATAACACGTTACATCGGTGAATTACGGTAAACGTGTTTGAAAGTTCGTTCGTTGCATGGTTAGTGTTCCGTTAGTGTTCCAATAAAATGTATCTCTTCTTCTCTAGAGATCTGTAAACATTTCTTAAGTCGAATGAACTACACTGGAATAGAATAAACAAGTTTCGTTAACAAGTAGGAAAAAGAAGATAAAAATGGCGAAACAGATATCGAGGGAGGTTGAAAGAAGGCAACAGTTTCGTGTAAAACGCCTAAGACCGGAAGTGGAATCTTCAAGGCTTCCGTCGTCCTTGTCACAGGTGAACGTTCGGGTCAAAGGTCAAGTTCATCCTCGAGGGCGTTCTAAAGGCTGTCGAGTGGAAGAAGTTCTCACGAAAGTTTCGTGAAATATTCCAGGAGGAAGGAGTTGTGTAGCATTTAACAACAGCGTCTGATACCGTTTCTTCCATGGCTGTTGGCTCTCGTGTATCCTCAAACGTGAACTCCATTAAACCCACGATCCTCACCAAAGTGTTACTTTTCAAACGTTACCTCGAGCTTGAAAGTCGGTTAATGAACAATTCAACGACGAGTGAAAAAAAGAGGATCTCGGTTTATTGAACTTCTTATTCGTTCAGCATTTGCTATCTCATCTTCTTCTTCTTTTTGTATTTCTCTTTAATAACGTGGATGTGTGTGTATAGAGTGGTATATGGAAGAAATTTTTTGTTGAAACGAGGTTTCGATACGAGAGGTAGCAAATGATTCGACTCGTGGAAGCTTTTAATCTTAGGTACAGTGTGATTTAAGTCCCGCGGAATCTCAGCTGACGAGATCAGGTGTTAATGGAGGATCTGTCGAAGCAACGTGTTACACGTTATACTCAATCGGTAATGATTCGTTTACGATAGGAAATTGAAGTCTTTCTCTCTGTGAAATTGAAATTTGACCAAAAATTCTGTTTGTGAAATTGAAATTTGGCAAAAATTCTCTGTGTAAAATTTGACAAAAATCGACCTCAATTTGGTATTCATTGCGGATAAGACGATTGGTAGATAAGTAAGAAATTTAAAAGATAGTAATTCAGCGACGAAAGGATTAAGTCGCATGGAACAAATTTCTTCGCAGATAGAAATACTTGGATCCTTGAAGAGATCGATATGCGTCGATCTTCAACCACGCTGATAAATCATTCACACGAGTTCAGTTTCGAAGGTCGGATTTTTCCAAAAGAAAATAAGTTATATCTACCGAAGACGTGTAAAATAAGAAAAATAAAAGAGGCTAAAGACGTCTAAAATGAGAAAGTAGAAAAAGCTAAAAATGTCTAAAATAAAAAAAAAAAATGAAAGACTCGTTTTAATTCAGATTTTTCGATATATCCCCTGCGCCTTGGAAAGGAATGCTCGGAAGGTTCACGTGTTACGCGTTTTTCATTTCAATAATCGAAAGACGAATGGAAAACATGAGCGAATGTCTCGCTGGTCGAATTTCGACCGGTGTTTCTAATCCACCGAGAGCGTTTGAAACGATCGACATTCCGAGCCGCGCCCATTTTCAGCGCGTCGACTCGACAAGTTTTGCGTTTAACAAACACCGGCGTGCAATCGTATGCACTGGCCTTTACGGGAATCGCGACGATGGCGGATTTTTCTCTTAAATGTACCGCGATTTCGTTCGCGGCTCGCGCGATCCAGCGAGCCAACAACTCGCAGCTTTCCTTCGACTCTTTATTTGGCCGAGCTGAAAGAAAAACGGCTCGAGTCGGTTCTTCCACGGAGAACTTTCTTGGCGAAAGAGAGTCGTACTCTGTGTCTGTGTGCACACCTGTGTGCGTTATTAATAAAGAGAAGAAAAGAAAGAAGAAAAATAGTTGCATTAAGAAAACGCTTTGGAGATTGGATTTCTGGTTAGTATGCGGAAAATTAGAGATATACTGTTTTATTTTAACACGCTGTTGACCGATTAAGGAGATTTACCATTTCTACCACTTAGAACCAATGATATTTCATGCTTTTATTGTAATCTGAGAAATTTCGAATATAACGAAGCGTCGTTCAATTTTATGTTATTAACTGTCTTAACCCTTTACGGTCCAAATAGTCCAGTTAGCACTCGTTTGGTCACTCTCAGACGGTACCATGTAGTTTCCCTTTATTCCAATATTTCGGCGTGGTATTAGTTATAAAATGCCAAGTTTCGGTATAATATTGATGCATTAAGAAATGGTATATTATCATTTATACTTTATAATTTATCGTCGTTTATAAATATGACTTGAGTTCGATCACGACTTACGGTTCGAATAGTCTCATTTGGCTACTGTTTGGCATGCCTTTGTTTCAATATTTTAGGGTAATGTTAGTTATAGAATACTAAGTTTCGGTGTATTATTGATGCAGAAAAAAATGCTATATTATCATTTATAATTTATCATTATGCGATATCTGAAGGCAACTGTTGGATTATAAAGAGAAATGAGTATGTGTCTGTGTAATAGTAACGGCAAAAATCAGAATAAAGAAGATTTATAATTAAAACAATATCTTTTATTTATTACCATAATTCTAACAGCAACAATTCTTGTGTCGAGTCTGACTCGACGTAGGACCGCACAGGGTTAACCAAAGTTGCTTTGCCAATTCTTTTTTTTACATTTGACTCGTCATTTTGATTCGACAGCGATAAAGTCAGGCGGTTCAGATTGCGTTTCGTACAGGAAATACACCTATTTTACCTATCATATGTAAATAAACAAGAAAAATATAAAATATATACAGTTGTATTCCGTGTACAATAGACTATGGGTCAAAATGACCCTGCATTTGTCTCCCGCGTCCGTCTAAAGCCATTCGCCTTCCGAGGGTTAACCCTTTGCGATCGGCACATTTCTCTGGCGGGACTACCAGCTAGTCGGAGCAAATTTAGATTTTTAAAGTTATTTTTGCATAGTTGATTCATTATATATATATATAAGGATATTGAAAAATATAGAATATTTTGTTTAACCGTTTGAGTCCCACGCGCCGCTTTCGCGCTCTTCAGATTTCACGTCGAAAAAACCCAGCGCATTTGAACGATAAGGACAACTGACGGCGTACTCACAATTTGACGAAACGCGCTCAACTTTTCAGACGCATGTACGTCGCTTCGCTACTTTTTTTGTATAAAGTAATCCAAGTAGTACATTTTGTATTTCGTTGTTATCTATTATAAAAGAAGCGCTATCGCGCTGCTTAGCATTCGCTTGGATCTTTTCGCATCCCATTCAGAAAGCGCTATTGCGGCTTTTTTCGACCGTGTTTTTTTAAAAACCTCTGGTACTCAAACGGTTAATATTAGTTACAGCGCATAAAAATAAAACGTTTTAAACAGAGACTATCGGAGAATCGTACCAGTTTCTCGGTAAACCAAGGCTGATTACAAATTCACAGACTGGGTATCCAAAAGCAAGGAAATTAAACTATTCCCTAAAAAGTAAGTCGTGAAATTTCACCCAAGTGCTTCGAAAGGGATTGTAAAGAGTAATTAATACATACAAAACCTTTCGATCATAAAATAACAGATATGCACACAGAACAAAGATCATGCCGCCATAAGGGCGACACCGATTTCTAGAACAAAATTGAAATGCCGCCGCTATGACGGCACCGATCGCAAAGGGTTATATTCTAAGGGCGATATTCGTTCGGTTGACGATCTGTTAACCCTTTGGTCTTCTTTGTCGAGTGTGACTCGACATCAGTTTTACTTTGAAGTAATATTTAAATTGCCAGTTTAAATATGTATTCTTTTTACCTGGACGAGCGATAGGTACACATATATGTATATCACCCTTAATGCCTCTCGAAGTGAATTTCAAGTAAAATTCCTAAAATAATAGCGAGTTATTGAAAAAAAAAAAAATTGGAGTTCGAAGGGTTAATACGGAGAAGAAGAGATCGAAGTGTTCGGGATGGAAAAGTTGGATACGTTGTTTTCTGTCGACAGGATTTTCTAGGTTTCAGATGTTATTTACCACCGTTAGGCTGTACAAAGGAGCTCCTTTGTGTAGAAATTTCTTTTGACTGTTTCTCGTACGGAACGAGAGGAGAGGAAAAAGAAATCGAGTCGATGGCAGATCGTTGCCTGCGAAAGAATCCGTTTACTGGACCGTGACGGAGACACATCCATCGGCACAAATATCACCGGTGATTTAGCGCAGACGGAGAATCGCATACTCATCCTTTCGACAACGTCCAACGGAGAAAAACTCGTCGCGATCGATCATCGCGACGCGAGGGATTTCTCAAATGGTCCATTCATTCGTGGATCGCGGTCTTCGATCTGTACACGAACTTCGTACGCTAGAACGTCGTTACAAGTTGTAATTCGGAATTTCGTTTCGTCTGTAGCGATTTATAATCGCGTCAGACTTGGTAGTTCATTAGGATATCTCGTACTTCTTCTTTTTTTTGTTATCAGACGGTAGGGTGTGAAATTAGCGACTCGGAAGGGAAAATGGGTAATTCCAGTTTTTGATTTTCTTGCAATTTTTGTGCCGAATGATTGGTGCTTCATTTTGTACGAGTCAAA